ATCCATCATAGCCAAAACGTTTGCAAGTGACTCACTGCTGGGTCGAGAGAGCAGCCAGAGATGTGAGTAGGGAGGTTAAAGTTTTTCATGCCAACACTTCAAGAAAATCATCAAAATCCCACTGTATAAGATGTTGGTTGACGTCACCAATATATATATGTTGACATTTATACTGAAGCAGAAGGGAGTCCAATTTTTTTTTCATGAGGAAGCTGTTGGGGTCTGCTTGCTGCCTTTGAGGTCTGTGCACTGTACATGCTAGAGGTGTACCAGGATTTATACATAGCCTTAATAACATCATTTTCAGGTGATTAGGAATAGTAACATCAATGAGTTGAGCATGCACACTTTTAGAAAAGCATACAACAATGCCTCTTCCTTAAAATTATCTGTCTCGTCGCATCCATGAGGTAGCTAGCAATTCTAAAAGAATTTTCCGGAGTCCCATCGTTTAAAAATGTCTCAACAACGGCGATCATGTCAGCTCTCCAACACTGGTAATTAAGCTTCCAATGTTGGCAGACAGGATGCTCACAGAATGGCTCTTTATGTTCAGCTTGGTTGAATAGGTATACAAGGTGCTTGCCCTTGAGACAGGTACGACACAGGGGCAGCCACTGGGAGGTAACTCTGTGGTCTTGTATAAGGCATGGAACCACCTGCTGAGATGACGTAGAAGTAGCTAGGTGGGTGACGTGTGTATTCACACGTTCTGAGCTCTTGCTGGTTTGTTCAGAGATCAGTCTTTAAAGAACTAGTGATCTTGCCTAGCCAGTTCTTTTATAATTTGACATTGGTCTTCTTGATGTCCTCTTTTCTGGCAATAATTGCACCTGATATCTCGCAGACAGTTGTTGGCAAGATATCAGGTGACAGCAGGAGCACTGTCTAGGTGCCTGGGAGGGCGGTCTTCTGTTTCCTACACCTCTTGCGTTTTGCTTCTGATTCGGCAACTGATTTCTCTGTATGTTCTGCTGATGCTGAATCTGATGATTATGTACCTGGTGGGCGTTCCCTGGGACAGTGTTGGCAGAAGGTGAGACGGCTGTGCGAGGCGGTCTCTTTCTATTCCACTTCCTGTTCCACAGCCTCCTCCACACCCTCGCTCAACACTCCCAGATATATTTCTCCTTGGCCCGGCAGTTAATCAGGTAATGTCGGCCACCTGATTGTTAACTACATCAATCACTGGTAGAGAACCTGACCTCGGGGTTGGAAGATAGAGCACTCTCTCTCTCTCTCTCTCATTACTGTACTCTCTTCTACTAATAAACACATACAATATTGTTTAATTAATTAGTTTAATATGTTTATTATGCCCCATACCCATCGACTGTGGGGGTTTGAGGTTTCAAAGGTAATAATGGGTCCAGGACTGGACCAAAGTTATGTAGCTGACTAGTTACAAGGTAATGAACTCAGTAGATCTGGGCACATCATGCATTTACAAGGTAATGAATCACCCTCACTCCTATAATGGTAAGTCATGACAAATTACAAAGTAAACCAATGATACGTCCACACCTGGTAAACCAATTGAAATTTGATTTTAAAATACAAATTTTTAAGTGGTCAACACCCCACGAGCCCCTCGCGCCCCAAAACTTTACCCCACACGAGGGCCCACGCACGGACATTTTTCCCCGAGCGTACAAATTTATGCATACCCCAAAAGGGAAACGCACACCCACACACCAAAACCACACACACCCCAACACCACACACACACACATACACACACACCACCCCAAAAACAAACCAAAACACACACACACCACACACACACACACACACACACACACACACACACAACACACACAAAAGATAAAAACCCAGCCTCCTCAAAACCCTTCCCTTAAAACCCCCCCAACCAGGTAAACCCCAGTGCAACCAAACACTCAAAACCAAAAACCCCATGCCATATCCAATGCCCCCCCCCCACTCTTTAAAAACTCCACCCCAACAGCAACCACCCATATTTCCTTTAAATCATTTTCTCCCATTTCCCCCAACCCCAATTTACCCCTCAGACCACAGTCTTGAAAAAAATTTAAAAAGGTGTGGTATAAAAATGCAGAGGGAATAACAAATAAGTGTGAGGAGTGGCATGAAAAAATCAAGGGGGCACCCCCAGACATAATAGCCCCAACAGAAAAAAATTTCACCAGAAAAATAAAGATGCAATTTTTCCCCCTGGATATCAAATTCCCAGGAAAGACGGGAGGGGGGGGGGGGGAAGGAGGATTTGGTTGCACTGTTTCTTTTTAAAAACCAGGGGGGGTTTTGGGGAAAAAGGCAGGAATGGACGGAAAGGGCAAAAGGGGGACTATTTAAAGGGAAAAAACCCAATTGAGGGAATAAGGTGATAATTGCAGAAATGTAAAACCCACCACAGAACTGCAGGGGGGCCAAGAGAAAAACAATGATAGCAAAGAGCAATGGTCGGACTTCGATAAATATCATGTAAAAAGGGCACCTGGGATCGTGATCATGGGGGTTCGGTGTTTGACTACATATTTAGCTTCATTTGGAGAGAGTAGCGGGAAATTTGGATGGGGAAAAACCCAAAGTTTAAAAAAGGGGGGAACTACTCAGGAAAGAGGAATTTCCCTGCAAGAAAATTTAGTGGAGAGGGGAAATGACGGAAAAAACCCGTAAAAAAAATTTATGGAATATGTGGCAAAAAATTTCAAGGGGCAGAGGGGAGGGTTTTTTCCCAAAGGGGAAAAAGAAATAATGGGGAAAAACAGAACGAGTCCTTGGGTTTACCCAAAGGTGTAGGGAGGCAAAAATAGGGTACCCAGAGAATTGGGGAAAAGGGACAAAGAAAGAGGAAAAAACCCGGAAAAAAAAAGAGATTAGTGAAGAGCCAGAAACGAAAATGCAAAAGATAAAAGGGAGGCTCACGACAAAATGAAAATGACATAGCATCGAAAGTCAAGTCTGACTCGAAGCTGTTGTACAGCCCCATCAGGGGGAAAAAAAAACAGTCAAGGACTAGGTAATCAGACTGAGGAAGGGTGGGTGGGGGGAAACTTTACAAGAAACGACCCAAGGTATGGGCAAAGGGGCGCAACAAAAGGGGATTTAAAAAAATATTTTCAGTGGGAAAACCCTTTGGGAAATCCAGGGAAAACAGAACAGGGGGGGGGGACACCAACAAGTGCTGGAAGAGGTACACGTAACCAAAGGGGGGGTTTAAGACCCCCTGCTTTTGGGGAAATTGGCGCCTCAAAAGGGGGTTGGGGCCAAAAACTCCTCCATGGGGCCCTTTGAGAGGGACAGAGATGCGTGTGTGCCATTACAAAGATCTTCAACCCCATCCATTTAAAAACTGGGCAACCCCTGAAAGGGATGGAAGATGGCAAAATTGTCCCAATTTTTAAAAAGGGAGACAGACAGAGGTACTAAACTACAGGGCCTGACACTAACGTTTATAGATGCAAAGTCTGGAGAAGTCATCCCGGAGGAGAGTGGTGGACCACCCAAAGAAACAAGTGTATAAATTTTACAACCCGCACGGTTTCAGGGAAGGAAAAACCTGTGTCACAAAACCCACTTTGAGGTTTTTTACAAGGGGGAACCCGAAGTAAGACAAGGAGAGGGGGTGGATCGAAGCTTTTTTTTGGGCTGCAAGTTTGGGGCCCTTTGATAAGTTCCTCACAAAAGGGGTTTCGCAAAAGCTAGAAAATCAGGCACACATAATTTGGAAAAAGGGACTGCAATGGAAACAAAATACCTGCAAAGGGGGCCCAAAAAACGGGGTTTATGGTACGTTACGAGGTGCAGAATGGGTGGCCCGTGACAACGGGGTTCCACAGGGGGCAGTCCTAGGATTGTGGTTTTTGGGATATGTAGTGACATAACGAAGGGTTAAAATCAGGAAAACGTCCCTTTTTTGCAGTTTTAAAGTGAAATTAATGAGAAGAATTAAAAAACGGATGGGGTCAGGGAGGACTACCAAAAACCTGGAAGGGGTACCAAAACCCGGTCCAGCAATGGTTCCCTTTAGTTTAAAACCCGCCAAATGCAAAGGGCATGAAGATTGGGGAAAAGGGAAAAAAAACCGCAAAACACAAATAGATAGATGACCAAAGACTGCAAACCTCACTTTAAGGGGAAAAAAAATCTGGGGGTATTTTAAAAATTTAGGGCATATCTCCTGAGGCGCCAATCAAACATAAAAAATGCGGGGAAAACCGGGGGTTTTGGGGAAACCTACAGATAGCCCTTCCCATACCCCAGGAAAAGGAAACGTTTTAAGACTCTGTATAAACCTTTTTCGTCGGCACCCAAACTGGATTTTGCAGCACCAGTTTGGAATCCACACCCCGGTTTTAAAACGTAAAAAAATTTGAGAAAGTGCAAAGGGGTTTCAACAAAACTAGTCCCAGAGGGGAAAGGGGGTTGTCCCACCGAAGAAAGGTTTAGGGAAATCGGCCTGGGCGCACTTGGGGAAAAAGGAAAGGGGCAGGGGAGACATGATAAAAGGGGCAT